CCTTTTTACACGGAACCAGGACAACAATGAACCCAGTTTGTTTGATTAAAAGATGCTTAGATCACTTTCTGTACATATTGTGCTACGTATTTTTTTTATAAAGTAGATCACATAAAACCTGCACAAACATTAAGATTTAAAATTAGAAAATGTTTAGTTGCTGTGTAAAAGTTAAATAAGCAGCATTTGTCCACAGTGTTTTCTTGCCAGATTTGTAATTTAACAGTTTGACTTTCTGAGTAGCTATGATTCATGACTTTAACTAGGATCTGGTTGTGCTGAGGTATGTATCATGAAGGATTTCTTTACATGTGTGTCTTAGTATTTTTAGGATCCAAACGTTTACTGACTTATGTTAAAATCTTTATTCTCCTTCACAAATGTTACAGTTTACATTAATAGGATAAATTCATGTATGATTAATCAATTTTTATTTTTGTATTTGCTTAAAATGGAGTGGAAGATATAAAAACTTTAATATAAAACATAAAACCACATTATTAATTACTCAATTTAGACTTTTAGGAAGATCTGTCTTTCAGTGAAAATGCAAGAGGAGAAAACGGCTACATTCCAAGACTGCTAATAATGTCACATATTTCATATATTCCACAAGTAGTACAAGTAATAAATCACAATAGCTGTAGTTTGATTACATTTTTGGGGTTTGTTTTTCAGTCGGTGGCGAAGACTGGGCGGTTGCTGATCAGCCATGAAGCTCCCTTGACAGGAGGATTTGCCTCTGAAATCAGTTCTACAGTTCAGGTACACAGGTTATTATTATGTATTAACATTCATGTTCTGAATTGTTTACCTATAGAAAGAATATTTATTACTACATAAAAAGCTGAGGTTTTTATATTCTTTTTTTCAGTTGTGCTCTTTTACACTCCTAATAAATTCTGAGTTTGTGGATGGCTATGTTATTTTCTCTGAACAGCTGAGAAACCCTGTCGCTACTAGGCACTGTGCATAGCATCTGCTAAGCAATGAATATTAATTTTCACTGAAAAGCAGGGAGAATACAAAGGAAAAAAAAAGTCTTTATTTTTAGTCTGGTTTTAATGTACGTTTTCTCATATTTTTATACCAAACTCTTTGTAAAAATACGTTCTAGGAATTTTGAAATCGGAAAAAACACCTGGATCTGTTACAGTTAGACATGGTGTTCAGAGGCCTCATTAGGAAAGCAGTCTGACAAAGTGGTTTATGCATTTTTGTGAGACTTGTACACATGTTGAGTTTGTATGCACAGAACAGCTTTGGAAGGTTGAGATGTGCATCAGTTGTCTGGAGCATCAGTCTTTAATTTTTTTTTTTTTTAAGTTCTTTTGAGCTTTCTGATGTGCTTTATATTGGTACTTGCATATGGATTTTCCCCTTAACTTGATTTCTTTCCTGTGCTCATCAGTGGTACTAGTTGTCCATCACAGTCTGATTACTATTTTCTGACTGTTCTATTCTTAGAGTAATTAAATTACAGGACTAGAGAGAAATGGGTCTGTTGGATTGTGCCCAGAGGAGGGCCATGAAGATGATCAGAGGGCTGGAACCACCTCTCTTACAAGGACAGGCTGAGAGAGTTTGGGTTATTCAGCCTGAAAAGGCGGCTCTGGGAAGATCTTATTGGTGTATTCTGGTATCTGCAGGGGACCTGCAAGAACGTTGGGGAGGGGCTTTCTGCAAGGGCTTGTAGTGATGCGATGAGGGGTATGAGTTCAAACTGGAATAAGGTAGATTTAGATTAGATGTAAGGAAGAAGTTTTTCATTCTGAGAGCATTGAGACACTGGAACAGGTTGCCTAGGGAAGCTGTGGATACTTTACCACTGGATGAGTTTAAGACCAAGTTAGATGGGGCCTTGCACAACCCGGTGGGTTGTGGAGGTGTCCCTGCCCATGGCAGGAGGGTTGGAACTAGTTGATCTTTAAGGTCCCTTCCAACCCAAGCCATTCTATGATTCTATAAATGGGATTGTAAAATTCACAAAATATAAACCATGCAGGCAGTAGTTGAGAATTAGCCAGTAGCCAAGCTTGGGAGTTAGCCTTTTTGTGGGAAGGAATAGAATTAATTGTTCTGGCAAAGTGATTTTTGATTAAATGTGCATAACAAATCAGCAAACTGTTTCTTGATCTTTGTGATACTATTTCTTTTAAAGAGTAATAATATTAATTTTAATGTGATTCTATGAAGTTCATTCATTTTTTTCCACCAAAATTTTGTCTCTATTAAGATCCAAATATTTCCCTTCCATCTAAGTAATATGTATTTGACCTCCCTTCTTTTATAGGTAGCCTCTTTGATTAAAATAAGTCCAGTAAAGTCTTAAGGTACTACCAGCCATGAGTGGTAAAAGTGGCTGTGTGTGGGGTTGTTGTGTTTGTGGGGTGATTTGTCTTTTTTTCTTTTTTCTGTGTTAAACTCTAAACAAAAATGTAAAGTAGACTCAACCTGAGGAGGCTGTCTTGTAGTGTCGTGTGTTATTATTCACACAAAGAACTGTTCTAAGTTGTGCAGCAATCTCATAATTTACTGGTATAACAAAGGAAAGCGTATGTGTTGGAGGAAAAAAGTCTGTTGAAAACAAAACAAGCTTGTCAGTAAATGTTATTGAAAGAGTATGGGATGCTCAATATATTGCTGAAACTACAGAATGAGTTCTTAATCTCCTCAGACCTTCACTAAGAAAGGTACTTACCAGATTAATCCATCTTGGGGTGGTTTTTCATAACAGAGATATATCTTGACAAATAGCACTTATTTAGAAAGCAAAGTTTAAAATGCTTCAATAAAGGGCTGTTTAATTCTGTCAATATTAAAAGCAAATATTTGTTTCATGGTAATAGCTCAATTTTATATTTATATTTTATAGGAAACTAGGATCTATATCTTAAGAAATGTTAGTTTATCACACATGCTACCTCAGAATAAATTGGAATATAACGCTTTAGCATTAAGTTTATCCATGGTGAGTTTTTTTCTTATAAACTGGTTATCTTGATGTTATAACCATATTGTTATTGCTCTTTATATCCATTCTTGAAGATTTTATCATCCATACTAAAATTTTGATGCTAGTTATTTTAAAGAATGCTCATACTGCAAAAGAGATTAGAACAATATTTACAGAGCATTACATCTTTTTAAAGAACAGTATTGCTTTAGGCATAATAAAGACCTTACTTTTTTTATTCAGTTAAAACACTTGATCTCTAAATGATCAAGTTAAGTCCATATGTCTAATATCACTGTGCTGTAAAAATAAAAGGAAAAATTGAAATTTTCTTTTGCTGGATGTGATGCGTACTCAGAATGCCAAAAACTGGGGGTTGCAGTTGGCTTCAGTTTCCTCTTACACATGGAAGTAATAAGACTTCAATAAAGTGTGTCCATTTGGATTAGATGGTTAGTTTCCATATTGTTATTCCATCCTTGCTGTGAGGTCTCTAGTCACAGAAGTAAGGTGAATAGAAGTACATAGGTTATTTTAAAAGTTAACTGCCCCAAACATTTCATGGTGGTGCACACTTCAAGGAAAAGAGTTCAAATGGAAATGGTGACTTTCACTCATGAACTATAGAAGAAAACTATATTGAAGTTTTCTTGTTGCATATGAGAGATTAAAAGCAGCTTTTGGAGAATTTACTAAATCAGATTTGTGATTGTTTTAAACGGGGCATGTTGTTGCATTAAGTAGTCATATACTCTGATTTCTCAAACAAAACTAAGAACAGGAAGAAGTGGTGCAGTAAAACTCTGCATTGTATGACTTTGCCCTTTGTATGGGTGTTTCATATCTGATCTCAGTGGGTATTCTGAAGTGAGCAACAGATGATAGGATAAATTCAATACAGGTAGAGTGAATACTTCATATTGATTATATACTGTATAAAAACTTGCAAAACTGTCGCGTTTGGCAGAGAGGGCACTAAACATTTGCTTAAGGCATACAGTTGGAACACAATTTGAGAAGCCTTGGAGAAGGGCCCACTGAGATGTCACTTTCAAAATGATGAAGCGTTGGGTGTGGAAATCATCAGTACATTAATCACTTGTAACATAAAAGAATGAAAATCCAGTATTTGGTCCCATGGGCCAGGATGAGGACATCCAGCACTGGGAGTTAGGGACACTCTGGACCGTTCTGCAGACTTGCTGCCTGCCAGTGTTTTTGACTTATGAGATGTAGGGAGGAGCATTTTGGAATCATACGAAGACCTTTGGGATTTTTAGAGGAACCAAAGGTGGGGAAAGGTGGGGAGCAAGGTGGTTTGGGGAGGAATAAATGTGGAAAAATTGAGACATAAGGGGATAAAAAGGATTGGCTGCATAAAACAGGCCAGTTGGTGTGACTGGTCATGTCCTTGTGCCTGGTCAGCGTGATGCGTCTTCTCATTAAACATAAACTGTTTCTAAGTGTTTGCCTTGGTGAGTCTTTCTATTCTGTGTGCATGTGCCTGTGTGGATGTCTAAGTGCCAACCGTTGGAGTCAGGGCACGGGTCATGGGGGTCAGTGTGCCTGGGGTGCTGCACTGGCAACAGGTGAGTGTGTTGGTGTCTGTCAACCAGGGGTGTGTGTCTCAGAGTGAATCAGCTGGAGAAGTTGGCTAATGGAGCAACCAGGATGTCTGAGCTAGCTACTGCAGAGACCATGCGATCTGACACCAGCTTGAGAGACCTGTTGGTGTGTCAGTGAGTGAGAGAGTAAGGGAGACTGAGGATCCAAGGCAAGCTGCTGGACAGATTGCCATGTCAAAGCCCAGGTACTGCAGGGATCTATAGCATGTGTGTCTCTGTGTTGGTGTGTAAGTTGGGGTGGATGTCTCTCAGCAGCTTGAGTGGAACTGAGTAGGGGTTTGTGTGTGCAGATGCCAGCAACTGAGAAATGGATCTTGGTCTTAGGAATTTATGTCAGGGTAATGCAAGTACATGTTGTATTATTCTATGTTCACTTTTGTTAATCTTGTATTCATATAATTTTAATTAATTTGTAATGTTTTACCTTTTAATTGTCTGCTGTCCCAGAGCTGTTCATAAGTGAGGTTGATTGACCTATATGCATATTGTTTCTCTAAAGCATTGTTTCTGAAATAAGATTAATCTCTACTCTGGCTCTCTTTCAGTAGTCCCTCTGTGATAAAAAGCTACCTTACAGAGCAGCAGCTTGCAATGCCCCTTCCTCCTTATCATTCTTGTCGTATCATCAAAATGGAGATGATGGCTGTGACACAGAACTCGGAAAGGAGTGCAAGGCTTAGTAGGGATTTATGAAACAATGGATTCTACAAGGGAAAACAAACACAGTAGGGTGAAGAACTAATCCTTGATCTTAGAGATCTTTCATGCTTGCAACAGTTGATAACCCTTTTATCAGATCTCTTTTTGTAGCTGCTGCTGTTACAATTTAAGTTGCAATTTGTTGCTTTTTCCTTGCAAATGAAGGGATTGTTATTCTAGGTTGTTTTTACTGGGATAAGCCTTTGAGTGTAACTGTGTTGATGTCTGTAGGAAGCTCCTGTTGAGCTTCCAGTGTAAAGAGGGTAAGGAGTCCAAACATAAAACTGTTATCCTGTAGTAACTGACCATCATAATTTGAAAGAGTGCTGCGAATAATAAAGGTTTTGGTTTCAACAATGTGTAGTTATTGAAAGGCTCATCTAGAACTAACTCAGAGGTGATCTTTTTTAAGAAGTCACTACCATTATCTTTTTATATTATTTCAAAATTGCTTATCTTTTAGTCTGACATAATATATCAGAAAG